TATTTCTACCTCAGCACAAGATTGCTTGATGTCTCTGAACTTTAAATGACCAGTAGGTGGTCATAGGCAAAGGTGAGTTCTGAGTCTCATTTCCATGCATGTCTCTCTATCACAATTCATTCACACTGGCCTGTGGAAGATTTCCTACAGAGAGGTTAAAAAGGACATGCAAACGCTAAAAACAGATTTCTGGCTCAAACTTTCTGGCCAGCTGAGCACTACTGAGTGAAAATACCCCCGAAGCAACACAAGAAATGCCAACTCGCATTTTTTGTTCTTCATGAATGAAAGCAAAATCAATCTGGATTTCTCAGGCTATTTTTTTCTTGTTTTTAATCAAAGTGGTCGAATTATGTTTTCATGTTGTTCAGTTATTTATGTGTCTTTATAACAACTCATCTCTGCATTCTTTTGCTCTCCCACCATTATCTAAGAGCTAAGCTTGAGTTTTGATTTTATGAGAGGCCACAAAAATAGTTTTGGTGGAACAGGAGAAGCCCATATAAAAACTAATTTTTATAGAGATGGCAGGATTTGCTGCCTCAAACCAAAATGTTCCTTTGGGTCAACATTATTTGCTGTCTGGCAGGTTCAGCCTTTCACTTCCATAGGCAAAACCAGGAGAATAACCTCCAAGTGAATATCCACAGGGAGCGACGTGCTCTTTATTTTTGTCTTACATTTTGTGAATTATCTTGTTTTCCAGGTAAATCCAGACAGCCATGGCCAGTCATGATGGAAATTTATTTCAAGGGTCTGTCACAAACTCATTTTCTTTACAATTTAATATTTTTCTCATTTCAAGACACCCTAGAGGAATGGGATATAAAATCTACTCTGAAGAATCACACTGGATGCTTGAAAAGCTCTGTAGCTGGCCAGGGATATGATATATATCCTTTGTTTACTCTGCAGAATGTGGCAGCCCATCAGCAATAGCAGTAAAAATAATAACTACAAAAAATCAAACAGCAAATCTGTTCCAGCATGAAGCTCATTGAAAAATGTCAATTTTCCAAGACCTTCCTGAGGGTGCAACATGGTCTCTTCCCTAGCAGGTGCTGTCAGCAAGGCAGTGGCATGGTGATCTACATTAACCTGCCTATGGTCTTTAAAGCTTCCTCACCTGCTGAGCATCTTGCAACCATCAGTGCAATGCCTGTTTGTGGCACAGGATGAAAAGTTGAAGAGCATTACCCCCCAAGTTTGGAAAATACTGCCCCAGATTTTTTTATCCTTTTGCTTCCTGTTACAGCCAAAATGTTATAAAATTCAGATAAGGCCAGAAAGAGAGGCTGTGAACCACAGTACTGCTGCATAACTTTCCATAACAAGGCACAGATAGGATTTTAGCAAACTCATGGGCACCAACACATATAAAAAAGCACATACACCAAATAAGAAGCAATGAAGCACATTGACAGACTTCACAGGTTCATACAAACTCTCCCTTAAAGGTCAACTCTTAAAGTGCTTTCTCTTATTTCATGCAGTCCTATCTCAGATGAAAGAGTCATTGACCATAGTGAGAGATTCAGATGAATTAAGAGATATGCTGATCACTCTCCTCATCATCAGTATGCTTGAAGCTTTCTAGGTGTGTAGAAAAATTAACCAGTGAAAAAGCAAGAGAACCCAACCTTTAAATGAGGTTTCTTAACTTTCTGAAACATCAAAACCTGAACTTTTAAACGAGGCATTGAGTTTGTAAGAAAAAAACAAACCCCCAAACCAACCTGAAAACATCCCATAAAAACTTTCCTCTGAATATATTTTTATGTTTTAAAAAATGGTAAATTGTTTCCAGCACTGTGGATGTTCTACAACCTTCAGCCAGTTGCCCATAAACAGATAAACCAAGCCAATCCCTGGCTGAAGAGTTCAATTTCAGGAGATCTTTGTGAACTAATTTGGCTTTAATATGTATCAGACAAGAAGAGTTGAGGAGGGGTGAGGAAAAGGACAAGACATGATCTCATCTGAACCTAGACCAAGCAGTATATAGAAGGTGTAAAAACATTTGCCTGCACCATATCCAGGCAAAGTAAAAATGACAAGGCTGCTGCCAAAAGTAATCCTTAAGAAACACAAGGCTGAGGAACATTTAACAGCTCTGTGTCCATCCAAAGAGGAGGTAGATCAAGTAAGAAGGATTCACAAAGAAAAATAGACTATGCTGCTGTGGATGAGAACAGAAGAGGTGCTGGGCTGGTAGAATGAGAAGAACCTGCCAAGGATGGAGATTCCCTTGCCCAAGCCCAACAATTCTGTGGCATCGGTGTTACTGGGCAAGGAAATTCCTCCCGTGTGAGCCAGTCAGCTGGGATATTGCAGTACACAGCTTGGCTTGTACCAGCCCATCAGGCTAAGGGAAGCTGGGGGGGTCTAAACACTCCTGAGCATTGCCAGCTGCTTTACAAGATGGGAGGAAAAAGGCCACAAATCTGACACCATGGAGGAGGGAAAATTAGAAAAATACAGGCAACCAACTCCTGTGGACCTCCTTGAAGTGAACTTGAGAAAGTCTCTCTGCCTATGTGTTCGCTGTACACTGACTTCAAAGCAATACGCTCTCTCTGCTCCACAATCCGATGCTGAATCTCAACCAGGATGTAGGTCACAAACCCTGTCCAAGTTTGCAGTGGTACCTTGATGAATCACAGACAAATGCACCCTCACCTCACCATGTTTTTGTTTTCTGTGGCCTTTGGAGTATGTTTGCATTAGTAAATCAGACAGGAAAGGAACTGCCACCCCAGGTGGACTCAGACCTTTGGATGGGCATAAACTGTCCTTGAGAAATGCCCACATCTCCTGGTGATGGAGAAAGCAAAGGGGAGCCCAGTCTGAATCTAGAGGCTTTGGATAAATGCCAGCAGGATCATTTTGCTTGCCCTTCCGGGGCAAACTGTGGTTTCTTCTCTGTTTTTAGACATCACAGGTCTAACCCCTTCCTCACTAAAAGCAGTGAAGGATGTCCTTGAATATCCAGATAATAGATCATGCTATATACTCGATCAACAGTTTGTTATCAGCCCAGAAATGATAGGAACAGGCTTTGACAAACACAAAGTCTGCTGGGCCTTAATGACAGTTATTCCCCTGTTTTGCTATCAGCATTTTCTAAATTTTTACATGCATATTGCTCATGAACACCCAGGAGAAAAAATAAAAATCTAATATGCATGATTTGTAACTGAAAGGATTAAGAAAGTATTTCTTCCCCTGTACATCCCTTGTGCATGTAATTTTTATCTCCACTTAACAACATTTCTGACATTTATTCTAAACAAGTGACAAATGCATTTCAGTGAGGGCTGCATTCTAAAAGGGGTGTTGTATTTGTTAATAAATAATTTTATGGCTTTTGCGTATTCACTGAACTTTGCTGAGTGATTGCTAAACATGTTATTAATATTGAATTCTAAACAACAAATACAAGCAAATAGTGAGTCACTGGTGGGGGGGGTTTGGTTTGGCTTTTTTTTTTTTCCTTTGTTCCAACAATGAAATGATACTAAGAAATCTCTTTAAGTGAAAAAAATCCGGAGGGTCATTCCATCTACTTGGCAGGATTTAAGCACAACGTAGTTCTGGAAAGCTGGAAAGCCAGAGCCAGCATATTCAGTGTTCTTCTCTCTCATTGGTGGTTCAGCCACATGGGATGCTAAATAACACAGCTGTACACACTCTGACAGCCAACTATTAATAACTTCTGCCCGCTCTGATTGCCTCCAGAAGCCGTACCAGCATCTGTGGGGAAAGAGGTGAGCAGTGAGCGTAGCTGGGCTGACCCAGATTTCTGAGGAGCTGGTTAGCTCCTCATGCCACACTTTCACTAGAGTTGACTTCTCTTGCAAGATTACTTAATTTCTCTGTAATACTATTGCTAGTATTATTATAGGAATAACAACAACAACAATTGTTGAGCATGAATGATTATTCTTTGAAAACCTTACATTTAAATACCTGCCATTTGGTGTAAAACGTTTTTGATGATATTTGACCTACTTTAATGACACAAAAGAATAGACTGTCACAGATAAATACTGGCTTTTAAAGACCTGCTCATGTATGTTTGTAGCTGGAGTTTCAGTGTCTGACAGAGGACTGCCTCTTATCCACCACATACCCTACCATGTCTGAATCCAAAACTCAGAGATATTGAAGGGAAGAGGTTTTCTCCTTGACTTTACTGGGGTTTGGATCAGGCCCTAACCTGAGAGGTTGTCTAAAGATGTGGGATACAGAGTCAAGGTCCCACTGCTCTTCCTGACCTCCTTCAGAGTTTTGGGGAAGTTAGTAATTTGCTCTCAGAAGACCAGCTGATTGCATTGACTGGATGCATCTCAGAAGTTCTGGTTGACGTGACTCAGCAGCAGTATCTAAAGCATCAGGATAGAAGGTAGATTATCCCATTGGCCCCACCTATGTCCCAGAGGATTTCTGCAGACTTGCCCAATACCTCTTTCCTATTCCATTTGAGTAACAGTCAGGTGTGGTTGAAATATTTCAGTTACTAGAAACTTGCTAAGAGGAAAAAGAGAAATAAGAAAAAAAAAAAAGCACCATGAGGAGCTGACTCAGACTGAAACAAGCGAATAGTGGTGTTATGACAGGGGCTGAATTGAGGATCCAGGCTGGCTCAGCAAGAGTCCTTCCTTTGGGGAAGCACGTACTGCAGCAGGAAGTTTGGTCACTGTCACTAATTTCCCACTTCTGGGCAATCTTGTATCATGCTTGGAAAATGTCAGAGACCCTTCGCTAGATGATCTGCTGGTGTGGCAGCTCCAACAGAGCACACGGTTGGCCAACAAGGACTGTACCTCTTCATTGCTGCTAAAGATTATCTGTATCAGAGACCAACCTTTTGGTACACCCTGAAAAAATCGCCAGCAAGGGAAACTGCATGGTGACAAAATCTTCCTGGCCTTTGTCTCCTGTAAGAAGAAGGCATTTCCTTGTGCAATAACTTTCCTCATCTGAGCAATAGCCTTATCTGGTTGAAGTTAGACTTGTTAACGTCAGCTAAGACTCTGAGCTGGTGCACAGACATGTGTGTGTGATCAAAATGCAAAGAATAAGAAAGTTTAGATGTTCAAAAGTAACCATCCATGAGCAATTCCTGTGCTTTTATCAAGCAAATATTGCCTTTGGATCTCATGAGCTTAGGTTTGTCTGGCTGTATCCACAGCTTGTGCTGCTGGGTGACACAGGCAGACTGTTGATGGAGTCTTTCTCCTAATAAGGGTTTTGGCTAGTAAGAAACAGGAAATTCAGAGGGCGGAACAAGAAGCAATTTAGAGGTTTAAAAACTGACTGAAGCCTGTTTCCATGAGCACCCACAAAAAGGGAGGGCTGAGTTAGCTACCCTCTCAACTGATTTTAGCCACACACACATAGGCACATATACCCAAGAACTGCAAATTCCCCACCCTGCCTCAACACACTCGGTGGGCCCCTCTCTCTGCTACATCTGGAAGAACAGAAATGTCACACATTCTGACAAGCACATTTTCCATCCTGAAACTGCACTGGTTTCTGGCTTGCTACTGGGACTCAGGTCAGGGAGAGGAGAACAGCGTTGTCTGCCTGCATTCAGCAACCTTGAGCTGTTAACCCTGCTCACCTTAGAGGAGCATTTTGCCGAGGAGTGAGATTGCCGAAGTGAAGAACATGCGACCAGTGGTACTGAGCTGTCTGCATTGAGTGCTTATCTGAAAGGGTGGGCAGCTATGACCCCGCAATAGGTCTTGATCAGTGTTGTGTGTGTTACCAGGCAGACTTTATAGGGAAACAGCAAACCAAACTGAAGACACTGATACTCAGGGTGGCTTGTACCCTCACAAGAAGATGGCACTGTACACTCTCTGCAAGACTCTTGTTTTACTGGGTGAGTCCTGTCCTCCTCAGCTGCCCACACTCTCCAAGAGATCCAAGGACCACATTGCTGCTATACAACCCTCCTTCATGAACTCCCAGTATCTCAGTTGTTCAACAGTAGCAAGGCTGTGGATCTAGACAGCCCTGCTTCTGCTAACACCAGAGAGACTTAGATCACTTGAGAATATGTATGTGATCGACAGCTGGCCACATTGGTGGCTCACATTTTTTTTCCCATATAACTTAACTTCTCGTTCCATAGAACAGAGAAACTGTATGGAAACCCTTGGCATCCAATGCGTGGCCTGATACTCTTTTGCCCACTAAATGCTCTCCAGGAACCTTTTCCATCCTTTTGCTTCTTTTATCTCTTTCTCTCTTTACATCACTGTCTCTCTTTCTTCTTCAACAAGTACTGTAGGTCTGTCTCCATCGTAAAGGCCAGAGCCATTCAGGTACTCCTCATCTTTGTTGTACTGCTCTGGTCCAGAAGAAGGCATGGAGTTTTCAGAAATGGAGCCATTTTTTACATAACCTGGCAAATTCCGGTGTCCATTGAGGGTCCCTGGTATAAGTCTTGTATTGAGATGGAGGGCAAGTGCTCCTCTTGTGGCTACATTTGTGATGCTGGTGTGGGAAACCATTGGTCCATAACTGTAGGTTGTGCTCCCACTTCGTGCTTTCCTTTTAAAGTCAAGTGCTAATGTCCACCTGCTCCATGACTTCTTAATTTCTGCTTGGACCTGAGAAGCAAAAGGGGATAAAAAAGCATAAGTAGGAGCAGATGGGAGCAGGAGGAGGTAGTATCCGCAGACAGCACGGGTGAGAAACATTCTGGGGAGTGAAATTGGAAGGAACACTAAATTCACATTCAATCTGCCCTTTCCAAATGAAATATTTGACATTGGAAAGCTTGAATAGCTGAAAACATCTAACTGAAATATGTGTTAACTCTCTCCCAGGGTTAAGGGACATGATCAGCTCCCGTTATGGTAGATATTTTATCTTAGTTTTATGCTGTAAAACTTAAGCAGCGTATTTGTAGTTTCATTTAGCCTTAAAATCCATAAACTTAGGCCAAGCCAGCCTTATGCTGGACCAGTCTTATGCTGGGCCACATTCTGTTCTTTCTCAGTGTACAGCCACTGACCATCTAGTTTCTTAGTTGGCAGGAACAGAGGGAATTAGTGAAAAAAAAAAGACATTAAAGCATTATCACTTTGGAAATAGAAAAAAGGTCAGAAAAGCCTGGACAATCAAAAGAGCTTGCTGGTTAGGCAGCTACTCTATTGATCCACTTTTCTTCCTGCCACAGATCTCAAATTAAGCAACACTAAACAGCACTTATGCTAGGAAAAGGAAAACCACATTTTTTTTCCCCTCCATTAGCTACTTCCAGTAGGTTATTTATTGGTGACATATTGACCTGGATATCTTATATGTCAAAACCAAGGATATGAACTTTCTATGTGCACTGACATATCTTTCATTGAGAGCAAAACAATGTTGTGTCTCTAAAATAAGTGAGGAGATGCTGATGTGCATCTGCCTTACCATATGTGTGTGAAACTAATGTAACAAAGGAGAGAAATAATTAAGAAGCTGGTGACATACCTCTCCATTGCAAAAACAGTATATGATGGCAACAAAAAATCCCTAGAAGGAAGAAGAAACAACATACTAATGTTAATCTTGCTGCATGTGAATATTTCTTTTCTGATGACACTGCCCAGCATCTCTGTGTTCCTCTGAAATCAATGACATCCACAGTATGCAGTATATAATATGTGTAAGAAACCTTGCATTGTTCAATAGCACATGAGAGACAGATCGACATAGACATTTTCCTTCAGACTATTGACAAAGTAGATAGACTATATAAGCCCTCTGGGTCATGGCTTAGCCATGGGACTATTTTCACCCCCAGACCTATTGCAGAGGTTGCAAGATGCTGATGGGTGCCTGGGAAGTTGGTGGCATCTACCTCATTGGGCATGTTTACAAACTATTGTATAAATATTTCTAGTGTTTTACATGTAGCTTATCCTGCTGCAGGATGTCAGAGTGGAAGGTGGTTCTGATGGGGCTTTTCCAGCTCTGGCTGTAAGTGGGGTAGCCTGTGTGTGAAGTAGAATGGACTTAATGGGATCAGCAAAGGAATTCAGATGTGAGCAAACCATCTACATCTTTGTGTTGGCCGATAGCTTACCCAGATCTTGTTGAGGTAACCTACTGTTTCATCCTATCTACACCCAACAGGGATTGTGGAAGCACATGAATGTAAGCTTGCTCCCCATCTCTCTTGCAGTTTCGCTAAACCATCACCTGGCCAGACCAGCTGTCCACATTTCATCATCCACACTGGTCAACCATGACGATAGTAGCATATGAACCAGAAATTCATCTCTCAGGGAAAGGTGTGCAGTAACAATCAAACACTGCTTTGCTTGTAGAGGGTTATGTATTCTTGCTGCTGTGTCTTGTAGAGGACCGGTACTGTAACTGAACCTGCCTTTTGCTCAAACCTAAAACTGAGGAATCCATTCACAGGACTGAAAGACAACTTTGGGACAAGCAAAATGGAAGCTAATTTGAAACAACATGTCTCTGTGGATCTCTACCAGTTTACGTCTAACCTGGATTTAAAGGGATTTATTCTGTGGGGCAAGTTATCTTTCAGCAGGAACGTTTTTTTGTTGAACACACTGAGCCTTTATATGTTGTGTTTAGCAAATATAGAACATAGTTGATGCTAAAATACTGTCAAATCACCTTGTGAATGAAATCTGGTGTACTGTAGAAACAGCCCTGCTTCCAATGACAACCTTACACTTTCATTTCTCTTCCCACCCCACTGAAATTCTTTCAGTTCTTCCCCATAGTTTAACAGTTACAGTACCTGGAAAGAGTTGAACAGCATTTCATAGTGCATTTGAACTTGCCAAAGAATCCCTGACACATCTGTGTATGGCATAGCCATGAAAACAATATAGTGAACGCCAAACAGAGGCATAAGGACGAGGGTAGATTTCAGCAGCTTCCTATAGCAATAAGAAGAGAGAAAGACACAGAGGAAATTAGTGGGTGGAGTATACCTCCCAGTCAAACTTGTCCACCTCATACCCTGGGCACAAGTTGAACATAATTTCATACCTGCTTACATGTCCTCTTGACAAGGTTTGGATATCTTACATTTACACAGGCACTGTGTCCCCCTGAAGTTTCAAACTTACTTCTCTTATGGCATGTGACACAACCCAGTCCATCCTCAGGCATGTGTTGATGTGCTAGTCTAACCTTCTGCACATACATGTCCCCATGTGATGCTATATGTACTGGAGATTAAGACTCTGAGATGTCTTTTTCAGCCTCAGACTATCCCTGTCTTTGGCTCAGGATCATGGGTACAGGGTGGAAATGTGACTGGAAAGAAATTTGCGCTGCTGCTTCCAGCACTCAGCCTCTGACTGGCACTAAATACCCTTGTCATCATAGAATCATGGAGTGGTTTAGATTGGAAGGGACCTTAAAGCTCATCCAGTTCCAACCCCCTGCCATGGGCAGGGACACCTTCCACTAGACCAGGTTGCTCCAAGCCCCATCCAACCTGGCCTTGAGCACTGCCAGGGATGGGGCAGCCACAGCTTCTCTGGGCAGCCTGTGCCAGAGGCTCACCACCCTCACAGGGAAGAACTTCTTCCTTTATACCTAGTCTAAATTTACCCTCTTTTAGTTGTTTTCCCTAAAGTCAGTTTGTCTGTAAATGCTGGTCTGCTTCAGCTTATGACAACTGGACATGGTCCTCTACAACCTACAGTAACTGACAATGCTGGAGCAGGGAGGCTTTGGCTACATGACCTCCAGAGATATCTTCCAACCTCAACCACTTTGTGATTCTGTGATTGAGCCTGTTTATTGAGGCAAGACACGAAGGTCCACCCTGGGTTAGTGCCTCCTGTAAAGAGCAGGGCTGGTGGAGAGGTAAGTGCATCTAGGAGCAGAATTCCTCTAGATATCAAGGGGAAGAGGACAGTGCGCTACGGGGTGAGCATGGTGAACACTCTCAGGAGGTGCTTTGGACTGCCATCTCACTTGGAAAGCCCCTTTTTAAAGAAGCAGATCCACCTCAGCAGAGGACCTGTGCTGGGGACTGGGGGAAGGTACAGTGCAACCCTGAGTACTTGGCTGCGTTTGCTCCTGACGGAACCAGCCTTGCCTGGAAGTGATATTAATTGAAGGAGTAAACATTCTGCCAAGAGTTACAGCAAGTCACCAAGTGCAGGCAATGACTGAGAAGGGTGAACATCATTACCAGAAAGATCTGGTACCTCCTCTGTCCAGCAACTGGAAACCGCTGAGGGAATTATCATATTAAAAGGAGAAGGTTGCATCCAAACCATAATTAAGAGCAAGCTTCAGCCAGGAGGAAATAAACAAATAGATAAATCAGAGCCCTGACAGGGCAGCAAAGCAAAATAGAGAGGTGTTTTCCTGCCAAATCTCATTGCTGCTTCAAATGAAACGTCTTGTGTTTGGAGAGTGAGATGGTAGCAATGAGCTCATGGTTTGCATCCCAAATCTTTCTGCCCCCACTTCCTGCCTTTGCTGGTCATGCTCGTCAGTCAAGTTCAGGAGATTACAAGAAGCCTTGGGAGCAAACAAACAGCCAAGGTGTCTCAACAATCTGCTTTTTCTGTGCAGTTTTGACCATGCTACAAATATCCTAAATTATCAAGAGAGAAGAGCTGGCAGAACAAAGGAAAATAAAACAAGCAGGGATATGCCAGGTTTCCAGCAAAGAGTCAGGAATCCTTTTTTCCTTTCAGCAAAGGCAATGAAACATCCACTGAAATGCAGATTTAACAAACAGACCAAGTTTTACAAAGTACAGGAGAGAAATGAAAAAAATAAATAAACTGACACAAGTTTTAGGGACTCCAATGGCAAACACAATGCTTTTATTTTTGAACTTTTGTTTCAAGGCCAAATTGGCTGAAGACTGAATTCATTTCTTTAAACTACAAGGCAGGTCCCCCAGGTTGTATTTGAAAGGTTTAGGAGATGTCTGAACTGCTGTTGATTCATTCTGCATTACCAGACTTGGAAGACAGCATTCGTTTCACCTTATTTTAGGTGTCTACAGTGTAGACACTCTTAACTAGTCACCCTAGCCTCCTTCTCTAGTCAAGGGGTGAAACAAAGACTTTGACATCTCCCCAAAAGTGGAAAGGGTATGTGACTCACCTGTACTGTTGTCTTGAGTCACACCTCCCTGCATTTGTCTCTCGTAGCTTGGTTGCTAGGACTCTGATAATATTGATAAAAAGAATAAAATTTACCTGGAAGAGGCGGGAAAAAGAAACAACACAACAAAGAAAGGATAACTGTTAATAAAGATGCAGTCAATGGTCAGGCTGTTCAGTCAGTGCTTTCCCCAAGATGAGTGAAGGGGCTGTGGCAGTGACCTGATCATGCTGTGTGAAAAGCTCCTTCTGGGGGAGCTTGTCCTGTGGAAGGGATGAGCTCCCCAGGAAAGACCACAAATGGTTTGATGGGATCTAGTCATCTGTGTTCAACCTGAATGGTTGAGAGAGAGAAGGGAATAGCTGTCTCTGACAAAGTGTGGGCATCTCACATGGATACACCTACATCTGTGCTAGCTAGCCTGGCAGACACCTGGTAACGGGACATGATATCAGTATATAAGGCAGTGCTTATCAGGCATTTTGAGGCCTGGACTACAGACAACTGTCAGTATTTTTCACACCACCTTTTTAAAAAACTCCATACAGAAATATGGGTCATTTTCATAGCCTTGTAAATCTCTCAAACTTAGCTAAGGAGCAGACTGAAATACGGCTATATTTGTCTCTTGTAGCCCACCTGAGAATTAGATACCCTCTGGCTAAAAGAAGCATTAGTAAGATGCCTTTCCATATTTTCTTGTGCAAAAGGAAAGAAGAGTAAGCAAACTGCACCATGACAAAGACATGGAGTAGCCCTAACAAGACACTACAGATCAAGAATGCAGAAAGGCAATAGAACTGTAAAACTTCGGTTCTATATGCACTGCTAACTGTTCCTCTGGAGGAGTGTTTAGTATGGACTGGATAAGGACAGTAAGTAATACCTATTTCCTACTCAGGGAGCCACCTCTACGAGCCCATCTTGTGGCCAGCTGCTCAACTGAGCTAATCCAGTCCTACAGGAACATGCTCATGGTGACCTGTGCTGCAAAAGGCAATGGCGCCATTTTATGGCTTCACTGACACCAGAGGGGGGAAATGAGGACATGTTTGAGGGATTCTCAGCTTTTTGGAGCTCTTCAGAGACTGGTTTCACTAGGGCTGGATTTACATCTGCTGCTGCCCTAGACTATCCTGTTTTTGGGACTATGGAAGGCCATAAATAGAACAATTGTGTAACTGTCCACTGGGCTGATCCATGTTGCTGGGCTAATGCTGATGCCTATGGGTTTCTTTTGAAGCTTGCAGCAGTCATTTGACTTCTCAGATGCCAGCATAGTGGCATTTCAAGGAAACAACTTGCCATGTCACACACAGGCTCATAGTTTTATGCCAGAAGGGACCATTGTGAACTTCTAGTCTGATCTGCAAAACGCAGTCCATAAGACCTCCTTGTATTAATTTTTCTTTGAGTTATAGCAGATCTGGGTTTCAGTGTTTCCATGACGGAGATCCTACCACAACCATTGCTAAGTTGTTCCAATGTTTAATTATCCTCACTATTAAAACAAGTAGTTCCCTGAGCCACTGAATGAACACGGCCTGGTTTACTATGGCTTTGTCTTCTGTGGTTGGATTCCTTCTCCTTTAACGAGGTGCAAGTTCATTTTGAACAGCTCTCCTCTGTGTTAAAAAGGAGGTGAGGTTGTACTACACCCATTCCCTTGAAGGGGCATTAGTAGAATTTCTCTCCCATATCTACTCAACTGTTTTCATGAGGTTTTTGGGAATTTAACATCCATGCAACCCCATTCCCTTCGTTACATTTGGTTGGAATTTACTGACTGGCACAAAAGCTATAGGGAAAAGATGGATAGACTGACAGGCAGAGAGGCATACAGCCTAGGGCATTTAATTAATTTTCATTGGAAATCAATCTGAAAGGGAAAGAAAAGAAAAAAAAGGGCAGGCTTTGTTTCTCATATGAGTTTTTCTAGCTTCAGAAGCTCAAAAGTGGGATTTTGTTCTGCATTTGTTGGCTAAATTGAAGATGTCCAACTGTATCACAGTCAAGAGGGAAACTCCTCTGACTTCCTGAAAAGTGCTAAGTTTCAAAAGAAATCCAGACTACTGAATAACATCAAAGCTACCAGCAGAATGGATGGATTTTAAGCCCCTCAGCCTCCAAATTCTCTGCACTACATCCAGAAAATGCTGAAGTTAGTCCAGCAACATACGACAAGCTAGTGTGGGAATTGAAAAGGCAGCCAAGTGAACAATATGAACCCACAGAAATTAAACAGAAACAACCCACAGAATATTTTTGCATGATAAATAGCTGCATTTGCAAATAGCCAGGGTACAAGCACAGCAGAGCCTCGTGGAGAAACATTGTTTTTACAAGGACAAGCCTTAATTGAGCTCTTTCTCCTCTGCTAATTGGGCTTTAAATTAAATGCAATGGGGTTGCTGGCATTCATCTAGTTGAACTATCTGAACTTTGTTCTCCATCCTACTATTTCATTTCCAGTGACTACAATGTGGGCTTGGTGATTCGTTTCTTCCAAGGTGCAGAACTATTTGCTAGAGCCAGGTGGAGAATTTCCACCAAAAGGAAATTCTGATGAAGAAAAAAGCCCCCCAACTCCAAAGCAGCTCACCTAATCACATGTATGAGCATGTTCACCTCAGAAACTTTCCTGCTGTTTATATGCAGATGGTCTGACTTTTCTCTCATCCACACTGATCATCTTCTAAGGCTTCCTGATGTGTGAGTTGCAAGGAATTATATACAGCTCGATGCAAAACCCTCTGAAGACTGTAGGGAGATTCATGGATGAATGTAAAGAGGACCTAGGATGTGTGGGAGTGGACAAGCTTTTCTGCATGCTCTCATGTAACCATCAGAAGATAGAGTAATGGAGAACCACAGAGACTGAGGGGGAAGAAAGGGTATTTAAAGGAAACTATGAAAGCAAGTTCTCTAGCTAATTAGGACCCTGCTCTTGCAAATGCACACTACCCATCTAATTACCTTTGTGAGTTCTTCAGCTTGTGAGATCTCAGTCCTTTGTCTGCGTAATGTTACTTACATCCTTTCTGTTCCCTCTGGTTGTTGGGTGGGGATTGAAGTAATCCTCCATCAGTGATTATCATCATGTCCAATCATAGCTGAGATGGTTTAATTTCCATCCCCACCTTTGAGTTATCCAAAGCTTTTATCAGTTCAGAAAGATTGTCTGAGACAATCTGATGACACTGAAGCATGACGGGGGAAAAGGTTTGGTCTAGGTATGGAACTCAAATTCCAGTTCTTCCAACTGGAGATTCCTGCTGAGAACATGTTATGAACCCTGAGGGGTTCCCCCCATATCATATGGGTTGGGAATATTGGTTTGAATATGTGTTTAACTAATGATTTTAGCATCTTACTCCTGTGTCATTCTTCTCCCCTAAGCAAAACTTGAAGTTGCTCATAAGCCCTCTGCAGTATGCAGCCATCAGAGGCAGGTCAAATATAAATCCCTTGAACTGGATATATAGAGACTCCATGGTATTAAGGCAGGAGTTGTGTTAACAGGGTGATTAGAGTAGGGCAGTCTGGCTCAACTCTTCCCACTGGGCCTGCATCAACCAAAGGCACTGCTTCCACCCCTTGCAATCACCCAGTACTCACCACGATAGCTGCCAGGATGGGCACCTGAATAATCCATTTTAAATTGCCAGCACTCAAGTCCCAACACCTGAGAAAAGATTGACATTCCATCAGGAAACCATTAGTTACAAAGAGCAATAGAGTCAAGCGTCTTGTTGGATAAATCCACCCTGAAAGAATGGGCTCCTCCAAAGCATGATGTGGTGGAAGGACTTAGCTCTATCCCTGCCTTCAGTTGTCATGGCTTTGAAATTAGGCCTTTCTCCTGCTGTTATAATGTACAAAACTGAAATCACTAATAGGCGCATTTACAGTTATGCTCTCCAGATGGTGGAACAGCTCTTTTCACAGCCATAAAGGCTTGTTCCTGCTTCTGGGCAGGAACCCACCCTTTTCCACTTCTTCACCTTCTTACTGTAAATAACTACAATCTTCGTGAAAACAAGAGGCTGAAATGGCCAAATATTACCCCTTGAAATAAAACAGCACCATGTTGCATGGGTCCTGTCTGAAGACACAGTGGTGGGGACAACATTGTGGTTCTACATTCAGTTCCTGGGTTTCCTTCAGCCCTGCTCTTGCAATGAGACCCAGCCGTGCCTCACAAAAGCCTTTATCTCTTTTTCATCTTTAGCCCTTATCCAAGTGAAGACTGGAAGGGCAAACTGTTGGTGGCGTGGATATTGGGCGATTCCCTCTGCCAAGAAGGGGCTGAACACTATTTCCTCCCAGGAGTTTCCAGCAGCTATTAAATAAGGTCACTCAGTGTTAATTACTCTGAATTCTCTCCAACCACGGAGAGAGGAGTGCCACAGGCTTTTCTTTATCCGAGCCAGACGGCCCCCACAGGGAAGCTGCAGTTTTCATTTCACTGGCCAAATACTGCCCAGGCAGCTATTCAAGGAAAGCGAGAGGCAGGGGCAGAGAAACCACCAGTGCTGACTGAAAGACGAGGATAAGGCTCTGCCAGTGCAGATGCGTCAGACCTCAGTAGCTGTGCTATTCCATCCTTCCAAGCCTGGAGCTGATATCCCATTTGGAAACCAGTGTCCTCCTAGCGGAAGACATTTGAAAAGCTACCTGGGGACCCCACACTTTTGCTGGTGGATCATGGGCTGGTGAAACCCGTTGTGTGGTCAAGCCTGTGCATCATGGGGAGAAAATGTGATTGTTTGGGGGTTTGAGGGTTGGATGCTATGCAACCTTCATTCAGCACTGTAAGAATACGAAGCCATGAGGGTGCATGTGTAGAACTAAAGAAGCAGCTGATCTGTATCTTGTTTCTGACAGTACCCAGAAGCTGATATTTAAGGTGGAACAGCAGTTCTGCCTAAGCAGGTAGTAATGTTTTTCTAGCTTTTTCTTCCAATAATTTGCTGTTCAGGATGGCTTCCTGAGCCAGACAATTACAGAATAACTAAGACTTCTAGAGGAATTTATCTTCCATGAATTTGTACAAATGCTTTTTAAACCTAAGGATATGCTGGCATCCACACCTCCTGCAGGGAGGAATACAGTTTCCCCACCTCATCAACACTGTGCTAAGCCTGTTATCTCTCAGCTTCATTCCCATTCATTCAGGATTTTAAAGATCCCCATCCTGTCCCTGCCTAGCTGTGAAGCAGTACCTTTTAGCCCCAGGGATAACAGCTGCAAGTGTTCACATTTATCACATTCTGTAAAATGAAAGGAGAGCTGGGAAAGTTGCACCCACTTTGTCCTTTCCTGCCACACTCACCCCCAGAAGTTTGTTAACTTCATGGTAGGAATCGATTCTGGCTTTGCCAAAAGCCCCGCAAAAGAGTAATGCGTAAAAGAGAGAAAAGAAAACACAATGCAACTTACTCTGTGTCGGCTAGAGTGGCTCTCACGCTGGCCCATGCTGTAACAAATACAGCAGGGAGTCCTGCAAAAAAACACAGGTCAAGCAGGGTGAGAAGGGGGACTGGAGGGGTCCATTACCATAAGCGTAGGTGGAGTGGGAGAGAGGAAGGTGGAAGAATCAATTTTAAATATTTAAGCATAATTAGGCCGAGAAAGCTGGGTCTTGGTGTTATGTCTCTTCTGTAGGCCAAATGGTAAACCAAACAGTGGCAGGGAACATTTTCTGGAAGGCAAATGTCATAGTCTGCGCATGTCCACCCCACTGAACTCTCCTGGCTTTTGAAACAGTTCTCCAAAATCCCAGGAGTGGTCCAGGCTTAAGCTACCTCCTGGTTTGTGTTTGGGAGATAGCCGTGTGGTCTCGCCTGGGATGGTCATGGACATGACAGGATAAATCATCATGTCCCGTGCCTTTCTCTAATGCTACTTTATAGGTACACAGCCTGCAGTGCTTGAACCTGGGTAACTGATACCTGCTCTAGCCCACTCATTCCTTTTGAAGCAGAGAAGGGTTTAATGCAGCACACCTTTCCCAAGGTATTTGTTCCCTTCCCCTGACATCAAAGAAAGGTGTATCTGGAGTCACGCTCAGAACGTTTCTCCCAGCACAGGGCTGGATGGATTAGAAGCTTGTTAAGAGTGAGAGACTTGCTGCATGAAGCAGCTAAATGCTAGAATTTAGAGTAATGTTTGCAGAATATACTAGTCAAACTTTCATTCCCAAATGAACCATCCTTATTTCAGCACAGTTACACTGGGCTTCATCTTTTCCCTGTGAAAAGGTGAAGAATCACCAATAACCAAATGCAATCTTCTATTTATTTTTTTAGGGTCCAGTTCTGCTTTATTTGTACAACTGAGTCCCCTACTGGCTTCCCTTACAAGGCAGGATCAAATCCACAGTAGCTTCCACAAACTCAAGAAGAATAGCCCCTTTCAGGTGAGAAAAAAAATAAAAAATAAATAAAGGCGACATTTATCACTGATGACTGTAAATATGCTGTTCACAGTCTAAGCTAGTTGGGGCTCGGCATGCATAAGCACACGCTTAACTTTCAGCATGCACTTAAGTCTCATTAGGGTGCTTAAAGGCTTTCCTGACCACGAGCGCTTTCCTGAGCTGGGGTGTGGAGCAGGGATGCTTGTCTCGTACACACATGGACAACGGCGCCGTTATCTTGGTTCAAACTTTACATGCCATGGTAATATAAGAAAGCATAAATAATTAAACACAGAGCCTCACTCAGGACCACTGCAGCACTGCTGCCTACAAAGATACATTTATAAGGAATGTACCCTTCTCTACAGTCCCCTGCAATGGCTGGCATTGGAAAGAAAATACTTAACCTATTGCACTGGGAACCCATGAGTGTGCTGAAGCCTAGGGCTTGGGGAGGGTGATGATTTATTGTAACAAGCACTGCCTGTTTCCTCCTTACTGTTAATCTCCTATCTATGAAAAATACGTGCATGCTCCAGACTACTGGCTGAGATATCAAAGGCTTAAGTGCTGATACCATTGATGATATTCCAGTTTATATCAACTGAGAAACTGGCTGTGTTGAGAAGCTGACATGCCTGCTGCCCACCTGCAAGACAGTAGATGTTCACCCACTACTGTGAAGCTCTAAGTTTGAAAGACTGTTTCAGAGATTTGGATGTGTTTGACATGTGCTTGTTCCTCTCTAGCCTGTCCTGCACTTCAGAAGAGATACTGTCCCCATTCATACTAACCCTGTGCTGTGTTCAAGGTTCCTAGTGACAATAAAATATACAGAATAATTACTCCTAAAAAAATCCCTATATGTGGGTTTATTGTGGGTTTACTCCTAAAAAAAAAATCCCTGTGTGCTGCCGCATCATTTCGTTCAGGCAAGCTTAGGAAAAGGATCCTTGATATTTTCTGCAAAACACACCAAGTGAATTCCTGGCACCGGTTTTATTGCTACGTTTGTCTTTCTGTGTCCCTTACATCGTTCTTTTGCAGTGTTAACAATCCTGAACATTTTTCAATTCACAAAAAGTGGTATGAATCCTCTCCCTCCTTTTCCTCTGCCTCATGTTTAGATTCTTTCTACACCAACATATCATGGAGTGCTTGGGCTGTCAGGTAATTTCTAGATCTAATTCTCCCACTGTGGTAAGCTAGTCTTACAACATGAAGATTCAGAAGGTTTAGCTTTGCCTCCGGCACGTCTTTTACTTTCAGAGGGTGACAACTGTCTTTCTGGTTCTCCATTTGAAAGTTCTGGTCTCTGATGCCCCAAGATTGACAGTCCCTCCTGCTGAGCACTCATAGCACTCATTGATGGGAGAATCATTAACCCCCAAATCAGGACTGAAGTCCTCAAAGCCAGACATCCAAGGATGTCTGGAAACAGCAAGAAAACTGAGAGGGTGCAGCTCTGTGAGCAGGAAGGTAATTCATGTTTAAATGCATCTGGCCACCTCACCAGAGAAGGGAAAGCAAGTCTCCAAAAAGCCTGTGATCTCCTGGGTAGCTGTGAGCGGACAGATGCAGTTGTGGATGGATGCGTGCCCCCTTGCACTTAAGTACCCCATGTGCATGACCAGTGTGACACAGGATGACCCCCACCGGGCGGTGATGCTGTGAATGACTTCTACAGAATCCACATTGTATGCGCTGTGCATTTCCAGTCAATACACACAGTGTGTACAATGCAGGTGCTATAAAGTCAGGTATCTCCCCAGCAGCTGGAAAATGCAAACCTCAAGCTGGGCAAAGTCTGGTGGCCATTCCAACCCCTTGCTTTCCTTTGTTGCTTTTCTTGTGTACATGTCTGCTAATAGCTGGAAAAGTGGCTTAACATGCGTGTGTCAAAGCTGTGAGTAAGGGAGGTGGCTGCAAAGCGACTGCTAGAAGAAAGCTTACGAATAAAGACCTTATGTAGGTCTACAAAAATCTCATCTCAGTTCCCTGCTATTTGAAAACCTCTCTGAGGAACAATGCATGTGTTTTTTTCTGCCTCCCTGTGTCACAGTTTCTTAATATTAAATAGAGCTAGTAATATCCTTTTTTGCCTCTTATCCTGTTAGGTATGAATGCTTTCAGTCAAGGATGATTTCTGCTCAGGTAAACATTCAGGGTTCACCATCATGGGGTTTTTGAACCTGAGCACCTCTAACAGTACCACATCGATATATCTGTCTTTTCAGGTCTTCCTGCAATCCTCATTTGCACCGTAGCTGCAAGCCAGTGCAGTCCAGCCAATGGCAGTGAATTAACATGGTGTGAAGGAAAAATGCCAGTGGAATCAGCTTGGGTTTTCTAGGTATTGGTCATGCTTCTTAGGCTTCCTTCATAAAACAGCTGCAGGGAACTTGAAGTCTGCTGGGGAATTTATTGTTGCCCATAATACCGTTATTTATTTATTTTTTCTGGGTGCGGGCAAGGAACAAATTCCTTTCAGTCATCAATGTCTCCCTTGCAAGAAGGGTGCTGCAGACTTTTAAGGAGCTGTGCTTCCTTGTGCCAGTGAGGATATGTATGGAAAAGACTCAACAGAAATCTTTGGGTGTGACATCAGAGAGTAACTATATGTTCTGGTTTCTTCAGTAGTCTGGAAATAAGGTGTTGTAGGGTGATTTTTGCTCCTTGCTCCCACCTTGTAAATTTCCAGGCAGGATAAATGCATGCTGCTTATTGTTATGCAAGCAAACAAACAAAAAAATCAGAGCTTTTGGGGCAAACTTGTCTTTTCTGTACCTATGAGGAAGGTTATTATTATTTATCACTGATTCCCTGTTACTCATTTCTGTGGTATGGGCAGGATCCAGTGCCCACTGCAGGGAACTGGAGTTCTTCCACTGTCTCCAGTGGGTCTTGGATTGGGTTGCCCTTTCAAGTGCCCAAAAGCTATCAAAACAGTACATCTGTGCGGGTGTGTGTGTCTACATTATCATGCTAATCAAAACAAAGCAAAACTGAATGCAACTGGAGGGATCCTATTTTCTCATTCCAGAGGAATTTAAACTGAGCAGCCTCAAACTTTTGGAAGCACATGGATGATTGGTGTTGTGACAGGTGTGACTTCAGCTTTGTGGTTGCTCTGATAAAACAATTATACTCTGGCTGTGGCTGGAGGAATTAATGAGAGAAAACCATGCCTGTTAGACTGTTTTCCTTTGGCTGCATTACAAGCAACATCAAGTTGGTTTTTCTTGTTAAACATAAGGCATTATTTTCCAGCTGTTTCCCTCTTCTCCAGAATTTGCTCTAGGGAATTGCTTTTTTATGTCTGCTCTGTACAGTTTAATGCCGTTTTCTGAGAAGCAAATTTTATGTACCTTGAAGGTTTGGAAGAGGATGAGTTTGGGGTTTTTCTGGATTTGTTTTTTGTTTGTCTTAAAAAAAGAGGTGACATCTAAACTCTGCAACTGCAGTAAGAAATGCCCTGTCTCCAAAATATTTCACAGAATCACAGAATCACACACAGAATCATAGAACGGTTTGTGTCAGATGGGACCTGGAAAGATTGTCTATTTCAACTTCCAAGGTGGCAAGGGTTTCCACCATCCATATACTTCATGCCCTCAGATTTCTACAGAAATTGTGAAAATAGGGATTTTAAATCCCAATCTATTCAGCCTTCATTGCACCCTCTGAGGCTCCCTGTGACCCTTTTGTGCTTCAGTACTCTACGGGTACCTACCAACTGGTTGGGACTAGACTTTGCCTGAGAAATGGATGTCCACTTTGGGACTCATATTTACACCTCCCATCTTTATCATATGACAGCACCACCAGTTTTTGACCTATACACCAGCTGAACATGAGGTTAGCAAGGAGCTTCTGGTCCCCTTCTTGCCCATGTGACACTTTGGAAAGAGGAAAGCTGAAGAGAGTCCTGCAGGCTAGACTGCCCTGTGTTACTGAATCCTTTGCTTGCTCTCCCAAAACAAAACCCTCCAGTTCTCCATAAACTCAGTTCTGCACTAACTGGTTTGCTCAGAACTCCACTGTTAGAGACTGGTTTTCTTCCAGAAGAAATCATATTCTGGAATGTGGATGGTGTGGTGCACACATTAATCTTGCCCTAAAATGCAGTCAGGATGTGGCCAAGTACATTTTGGTCTTTTCTGGGGAAGTGGTCCTGTGCCATACAGTTTAGAGACAACCGTAGACACCTCTGAACAGTTCTTTCCTGCTGTAAAGTCCTTTGTAGGCCTACACCCCATTGTTTTTAGTTATATCCTCAAGGATTTCGTAATACATTTCCTGTTCTCCCTTATAGTCCACACACTTCAGACAACTGTGGGCAGTTGTTATATTGTTCTCAGCTTACCAGCACCTCATAACTCCTTGCAAGCCAAGGCTAATGCCAGAAGTGAACAGAAAGCACATTCTTGTCTGAAATGTTTGTGCCCACAAAATATTTTGCTAATGAGCACCCTCCCTACACCCACATCCCGCTCCTTTTTCTTTACTCCAGGGAAAAGATGCCCAGGTTAAAAGAAAAGGAAAAAGAAAAGTCTTCCCCATGGATTGCAGGTTTCTCCCGGTGTTCCAACACTCATGAAACCTCAGGAGCTTTTTAAAGCAACTGAGATATGAGGCAGGAAATCAGAGCTTAGGTCTGCCACTGGGAGCAGATGCTCACAGCCTCATGCAACTTTCTGCCCCTCCAGCCCAGTGCCTGTTTCTCAGCAGAAGGCACTTGGCAGTGATGAAGATAACTAAGAAGGTGCACTACAATCAGCTGTCACATGCAGACATTTGCTGCCCTGGAAGAATGGCAAGATATATTGTTACTCCAAGTTTGGGCTGATCCTTCCAGAAATCCTGGAAGTGCCACGGTTTAAATACGACAATTTAGAAATGATAACAGTTTCACAAGAGAGCTAACCTGTCCTTGCAAGAGTCATTGCGTCTCTGGTGCTTACCCTGCCTCTCTCCCCTCTTGTATATTTAGTATATGTACTATCTGCTTCAAAGACGCCTCCAACAAGCTTCTTACAGATCAGCTGTAAGGAGCAGCCATAACTTACCCCAGCCAAATAATGTGAATCCCCAAAGATACTTCTTCTCTGAGAAAAATGCCATGAAGATGAGGCTGTGGAGATAGAGCCCTTCCACCAGAATCCAGTAGTAATTGGTTGCCAGGAAGTAAAGGAAGAAGGTAACTGCTACTTTACAGCCTACCTGCAATGACCACAGAAAGACATGGTTAAGTGAGGAATATGGTGTAAAATTCTTGTTCTGCATAAAACCATCATTTACAAAAATGGGATGGAAAACAAGATGGAGAAAGGGAAAAAAATCAGAAAATTCTGTTCTAGGGCTTTCACAAGGCGGAAAAATCAGTGTAAGAACAGAAGACATGACCAACTGAGAATAAAGCTTCCCCACAGCTTGACACTGTGTGTCCAATAGCAGGTGAGTTGGGAGGTGTAGGACTACAAGGCACTTGTGGAGATGTTGACCTCATCCTACTCTCTCCTAATCCCAGTGGTGAGGGTCACACACACTTTCAAAGGCAGCTGTGTTTCATCTTTTCCCTCTGTCTCTTGTCTATGTTAGGGAGGAGAGGGCTGTAGCCTTGGTCTGGGTGACCTGGTGCAAGTCACATCACTTGGAAATATGAATCCCTCCTCAGCTCATGGAGAGATATGGGCACCATGCTGAAGGTGAGTCATCCCATCCTGTTGAGGATGTTCAAGACAGGGTCCTCCAGGCTGCCTGTCTTTCCTCAGTGACTCTGAAGACACTAGATGGCTGCTGTAGGCTTTGGTGACTGGTCCTCCAAGGTGATTTCAACCACAGTGTCAAGGTGTTTTCTGAACAGACCTAAGCAGCAAGATAGGAGACCTGGTAGAGACTCCCAGGACATACTAATCTTTAATAGATTCATAAGCTGACCTCTCACTCCTCAGTGACCTGGAATCCTTTGCTTTCATGAGAGGAAAACCCTGACTGCAACTCAAGGCTCTCCTGTCCTTCTGGCACAGTGGGGTAAAGCCACCCTTCTTTGAGAGGGAGTGGGAAGGGATGGAGAGAGGTTATGGAGAATGAGGGAAAGGAGGAGCTAGTGTTCCTCAGTAGGGTGGAAAATCCACATGAAAGTGGCCAGGTGTTCAACAGAGAGGACAGAGGAACAAAGCCTGGCGAGCAGTCTGCTCCGGTGATACTCACAAACTGTGATTTATCTGCTGGAGGTGCTTCAGTAATGGATTTTAAGTCTTCCTCTGAGATCCTTTCCATCTCCTCCAAAGCTGACCCAGAGTACAAGACTGCGTCCTTCACAAAGATGCTCACGGCTCTCAGCATGAAGGAGACAAACAGGTGCATGTGGATGTAGTTTCTAGTGCAGTGCAAACGTCTGGAGGAGAAGACAGAGAAGGATTGGAGTATTTTAGACCATCTGTTGGACTGTCTCAGGGATCACCTCTGCTTCTGAAGAACCCCAGCTCCTCTCATCAGCACTGTGGCACCATGGGAAGCAGTGCTAGTGCCACTGCTACCCTGTGCTCACAGTTCACCCATGGGGTTGGTAAATGAATTAATATCTCCAGGGTTTTGGCTGCAGCACACTGCTGCTGGCTTTGCATTAGGACAATTCTGTGCCTGTACTCATTTAAACTCCTTTATTTCTGGCTGCGAAATCTTGCAGAGAAATAGGGCTGCATTTTGCCTGTGTTGGGCATGGGTAATGAACATGCATGCAGTGGGCAGCATGGGCATTGAGTCTACATCTGGAGAATGGTGTGTGTGCAGTGCACATGCAGCTGGAGGAGGGTATGTGGTATGCAGTCCATACTCAGTGTATGCAAATCTGGAGTGTAGTGTGTGTGCAGTGTGCATGCACCTGAAGGCAGTGAGAGATGCATTTGTATGAAGCACATGTGCAGTGTCAGCACATCTGGTGAACACCAGGACAAATGCAGTGGATTTGCGGCTGATGTGTAGGGTATGTGCAGTTAGCATGCATCCAGTGTGCAGGGTACATCCAGGGAATGTACATCTGGTGTGCAATGTGTGTTCAGTGAGCCAACAATAGCTGTGCAATGTGTGAATGGCAGGCACGTCCCTGGTGCTCAGTGTACATGCAGTGAGTGTGCACCAGACATGCAGTCATTTTCCAAGATGTATAGACAGAAGGCAGCATACATGCACCGTGGTCACCATTACTAAAGTGTGTATTCTGTGTGCGTCCCTTTCACTGTTAAATCCATCCCTCCAACAAATACACCCTTCTGAGTCAAACCCTGCATTTAAAAACTTCACAGAGGAAATGAACTACAAAGGCTACAGTCCTTGTGGCCACTAAAAACCTTGCAGAGGTTCGTGTAAATTGCTAGTATTTGTGCCCACTCCAAATTTAGTAGCAACTATAATGGTTACTATAGGGTGCTCAGCTGCCTTCTTGTTTCAGTTAGAGATGCTGTCCTTTGCTTGGTCATGTTGAGCCATTTCTGGGCTCCACCCCAGCAATGGCAGCAATGACCCCAAATGCTGATTGTAAAGCGCTTTAAGATCCTTTCCGGGGAAAAGCCAGATGGTAAGAAGTGAATGGGTTAGGCTCGTATTTATGAGGTGTGTTTTAGAAACAGTAGCCATGCCTTTGGGGAGAAGAAAGAATTAACTGACCTGTTGAAGTCCCCTTCTGTCCTCTAGACCTCAGTTGCCTGGCTAACCGTGCAGGAATAAATTCATGCCCCCTTAAATCCCCAGCTCCAAAAATGGAAATAAAAAGTCAAAGCTCAAAAGAAGATGGGCTTTGTTCCCTGCATTTGAAAGGTGATCACTGAATTTCTGGATTATGTGTTACCTGGAATAAAATCTGGCTTGGTCCCTGCTGCTGCTTTGATCCCTGAGACAAAGACATTTTAGCACAGTTGCCTATGTAGTCTGGGCTGTAAATGGAGAGCTCTGACTACATGAATAAAGACAGAGTATGTCTCCTGAAACTAGGAGTACTCTTCCATACATGAATACTAAATAGTTGAACAACCTGCCACTGTCCAGTCAGAAATGAAACAGAAGGGAATGGGTTGAGAGGACAGGAAGGTGGCGGTGGCAGGGATGGGTTCTGGGACTACATCACGTGAAGTGTCTCCAGGAGGGATCTGCAGTCCCCTTTGGCTCTAGCGTGTCACGGATTCAGGTGCTGGGATGCTCTGCTGTACAAGTAAATTCCCTTGACCTCCATTTGTTCACAGAGATGCCTGAGCACATTCAGTGCCAAAGGCCACACATTTTATTCCCACTGGTATGTGTCTGGGGCTTAGCTTGAACTTGCACGATGGGAGCTGCTGAGCCTATCTATCTGCAGACACCATGTGGCTGTTTGCTGTGTGGAGAATTTCTCTTCACAGCTGTTGTCTGGGTCCTGCTGTCTGCTAGGAGAAGAAACTGCCAGCCACAGAAGGGAAGCAATCTGGGACTCAGGGGATAGAGGGTCAGCACCCGCTCTATCTGCAGCTCATCAGGTATGGTTTCTCAAAGGACAAACTACTAGCCATGAGCAACTCCTTTCATTCATAACATCCTATGGTCTCTGCAGCTGCAAGAAGATGCAACAAGTAGGCTTGAGGAAAGGGTGGCGTGGGCTCAAGATGTATCTAGGGGTCTACATCACCTGGTAGGGGTGATGGAAAGGGATGGCAGACAATCAGAGTTAGGAGGGTGAGCGGTCATTTTTGGATGGGATCCCATTCAACTGATCTACCCTTCATGAATATGGGGGTTTAGAGTGGAATTTCCCTTATGAAACCTTAGTTATCTAAACATTAGCCATTTAAATCTAAGCCAGTCATCTGAAGGGGTAATACAGACAGAAAACCCCAGATACTCTTCCAAGTGAGAAACGCCTCTTCCTGAAGTTGCCTCTCTTTGCCTTTGCAACAGAAAGGGTCTAGAAAACTCAATTTCAGGCAAAAGGAAGAAGTTCAGACATCCCACCCACCATCCCCCAAGAAGTTTGACCTATGTGCCACTAACACAGCCCAAAGCACAGATGCAACCTCTTGTGGCTTGCTGAAGAAGCACAGGCCACCCCAGTTTTAGGAAAGCCAGAGGCCTTTCCAGTCTAGTGAGAACTCACTTAGGTAGAAACAGAGCCGCCTACCTGAAGTATCCCAGGATAAGGACAGCAACTGTGAGGGATCCCAGAGAGATGGAGTATCCAACAGTATAAATCAAATAGAGGCGATCAAAGACCTCCTGCAGTACAAATGATGGAAAAAATAGCGTCACATTAGAACGCGTCCTACTGCATCGTAACACAACCATGGTAGCAGCACAGAGATTCAGGCTATCATACTTGCTAGGGGCGTACAGCTCAGGGTCTGGGTAACCTTTGGCAGTCATACGTCTTGTCACCTTTTTCATGTAAGATCAGCTTTGAAAGCAGTATTCATTTTTCCTAATGACTGTGGGGAGACAGGATTTTTGCAAGGGACAAGTGATGGAGTTGGGTTAATCCCATGCCTGGGAGTTTTACAGCATTTTCATCCCAAAGGAACCCAAAGCGCTTTACAAACTCTCAGCCAAATCCAGAGATCACTTGGCAACTTTTGCTTGAACAAAATGCCCACTGACCTGGGATTTTTATGGAACTTTAAAATTTAGTCATAAGGCTATGCCATACCATTGCTGAATGACCGATGTCCATGCTGGTGGAGTGTATCAACCCACCACAGAAAACATGGCGAGGATATATTTTGGCTGCAGGATATGAGAAGAAATCACCTGTGTTCATCTTTTTTTTTGTTTTTTAAATCAGAAGCAGCCAGTGACTGCAGTTATCCAAACCAGACAAAAAATTAGCTTGCCAAAGCCCCATTGGAAATGGTCCTGTCACAGCAGAGCTTATAGTAATTAATCGTGTAGCAGGGTTTAGTTCTCTTGGCCCCCTTTTATTTTAGAGTCGGCCTTAGAAATCCTAAGGTTTCCATTAAATACTGAGATGTTTTTCTTCATCCTGTGCTGGGGCATACAGCTTAACTCAGGGATTACTGAATATCTGCCTGAAAAGGGTTAAAACATCTGCCACCATCCGAGCTTGTACTGCCTTTCATCGTCTAAAATTAGAAATAAAACCCAAAGAAACCAACAAATTCAGCATCTTTCTCTTTGCTTCCTCTTCCTCCTCCCACTTTTCCCTCACCCCACCCACTGGGTTACAATAACATTAGTAATGCTGAACTGTGAATGACAGCTCTGATTTTTATTTGAAGCTAGAAATGCTGTCCTGGAATGTGAAACCTCAGCCCTATTACATCAGAATCCCCAGATATGTGACTGTTTCTCTGTGGTTTCCACTGGTAGAGTGGTGCACTTGGCAATATTAACCTAGTGCGTGCGTATGTGTGTATTTATATATATATTTCTATATATCTGTGCAGGCAGCAGGCACTAAAAAGCCACTGTAAGCAGATTTGAGAGCTTTAGGGAAAAAAAAAAAGCTCCTTCCCTTCTAAGCACTGCCAAGCAGGAATCCTTGTTGAACTGGAAAATGGTGAAAATTTAAAATCAAATAAAAAATCCTCTCCAGGTTTAGGATTCTTTGTAGCTCATTAGTTGTGAGGTGTTACTATGCCCAGCTGAACAAAAGTGTCCCTGAGACCCATTCAGAAATTTAACCAGAAAGATCCATGCTCCCATCGGACAATGACACCATTGTAGCAGCAATGGTCTTGGGAAGGCCCTGCTGATTGGCTGGCAGGACGTTTTCAGAGGCTGTGGTTAATTCCTCTGATTAACCACAGGGCCTCTTTTTGAAAGGATATTGAGTCAGAACTGCCAAGACATACACATGCATGCAGGCATGCATGCTGGTGTGCCTGCTTGCATAGATAGATGCCTCAAATCTTACCCTGCGTCATGATGGGGAGCCTTCAGGGAATGTGATTTTTTGGATGGGGGCTTAGGTCCTTGGGAAAAGCCTCAGAAGCAAAAGGTTGAGGTTCTTCAAAAGGCTGCATAGAGAAGCCCCTTGGAGGGCAGCTCATGCTTGCTAGTTCCCAGGAGCGTTCATCCTCAGGAATGGTGAGACTTGAATTTACCCAGGAGGAAAAAAAAACCCACCACAACTCTCTAAAGGCAATTCCAGGTCTCATTCATCTCCTAGCACGACGGAGGTCCCAGCTTGGTGGAAACCACAATGCTGAATCAGGAAAGGTCCTCCAGGTAACAAAATATTGAGTCATCTGCCAGCTGAAACAACCACCTCCATGGTCTGAGAACCCTCTCTTTGGAGCTGAGATGGATGGCAATTTAAATAATTCACAGAAGACCATAAAGGTCATGCATGGCCAAGCCACGGGCACAACCTGGACCACCACAGTCTCAGGACAGCACACTACTTACTAGACCATCCTGACACAGCAGGAGCTCTACCTGATTTATCTTATAAATCCCCCCTGAAGATAGACTGAGCATCAGTGGTCGTCCACAGATCTTCTGGAGGAAGCAACCCACCCTGCAGAAATCTACCCTTGCCACACCATGAGACCCCGGTTTAAAAAGTTCGATCTAAATCTCCCCTCTGTCCTTTTAAAGCCATTCCCCCTTGTCCTACCACTACTTGCTCTTATAAAGAGAGCATAATACGACACTGGGAATAGCATAATATGGGGAAGGTGTGGGAAAGTTGTGGGATGGATCTGATCCCCCTCACATTTCTTCCTGTTTCTTCATTTTTTTCCTGTGCTTATTGCACTTGCCATCTCCCTAAGGAGTACCCAACTTGTCCACTTCCCCTGCCAACAGAGCTTGCAAAAGAGTGCTCTGTAAACCTTCCCTTCACAAGGCTGAGCTAGTCGTGGTTGATCCTGAAGGATGATGGGCAGGATGAGGTCCCCTGTTGTGGGTGAGCTGGTTTTGGGGTTGGAAAAGTGATTTGTGAACAAGTCATGCACCATGACCTCTCTAGGTCATGCTCTGTGGTGCCCTCAGGCACTGCACATTCTCAGGGCACTTCATTGCCCTCATCGTCTCTGTTCACACATTGCAAAGCTCCACCAAACCACAGCCATTTGTCTTATACAGCCAGGTGAAATGATCTTTCTGGAGTGAGCTAGCCCACCTGGTCCTGACTTCCTAATCTCGATCCAGCCATAACTCAAGAGACTCACAATAAACCAAGCTGCAAAAAACATTAAGTACTATTTCAGCTGTATTGACCTGTAACAAGATCTCCCTTTCCCCCCTCCCTCTTGGTCTGGTGGGAGACTTCCTCTCTGCTCCCCTTTGCCCCTCAGCTTTCCACCAGCCTGACCTCAGGGTAGAAACTTCACAACAGCCTGGCAGCTTTAGGAGAATAGGAAACCAATATAGAGCTAAAAATGGCTTCTGCATGAACTCAGTGCATGGAAAAACCAAAATAAACAAAACCTAGCCACCATGGGTATCCATGGGCTGGATGTGGTCCCCTCCCACAAGGATCCTTGCATTCTCCACTCCCTGAGGTTTGGACATCTTCCAGATGTGTGACCCTCAGAGTAGCTGGCTCTGACATTTTCATACTGTGCTTGGGGCTCAATCTGACTCCTAATTTGCCCACTTCCACCAATAGGGAGATAATTTGCATTGATCTGAATCCAAAAGAAAACTGCTTTCTGCTGCAGGACAGGTCAAAGCTACATCAGAGCACCACGCATGGGACTTTTGAGGCCCTGTCCATTGTGAAACCATGGCTGTGCTTTTATCTTGCATTGCAACCAGGTGTAGGACCTTCTGTGTGAATGGTATTTCTGCTCCCTCAAATTCTATTATGGTTATATGAGCTTATAAAGTGGATGTGGTCCTCTAATTTAGGTGTCTATGATGATGGCTCCATCAGAGCTGGCCACCTAAGGGCCCAGCAGCTGTAAGAAAGAGGTGCTTCTATTTTAACGAGAGGATGGTGCCCTCAGCCATCAGCTGTACTGTCTGGGTTGTCACAAGCATTGTCAGAATTGGCTAACTCAAATGGAAGTGTTTACATTTATACAGCAAGTCCCATCCATTTGAGTCTCAGGTAAGAGATCTTGCAACACTTAGGACTCAATTAAATTGTCTTTACACGTGTCATTTTAGATACCCAAGTGTCCTGTCTGGCTTCAAGCCTCTTTTACATAAGGGAATGTGTTTCCTCTGGGTCCGGTGTGGTATCTGCAGTTCTCTTGTAATTGTCTTATACACCCTAGGACACCTCATTTAACTCTGGGTGTAAATGACACCTATGTTTCAGCATGTCTGAAAACTTCAGGGCTTTGCTCTTCATATCTCCTGTTTCCTTTGAGTGGCACAGAGAGGGACACGGGTGACTGAGACATATTTTCTAGATGACTGATGGCAAACTCCATTTTGAGTAGCACTGCACTGTGCCCTGTATCCAACTTTCTCCTTTCATCCTTTTCCTTTCCCCTTTGTTAGACAAAAGCAAGATTCTGCAACATTTATGTTGTGAAGCTGAAATGGATCCAGTGGTCTTTTGAGGGGTTGGCAGGCTATACTGAAGGGTGGGATTAGCAGTATATAAGGATGGAAGCATATGTAAGGGCTTTCCAGATCAAGTATCTGCAAAGTTTTACAAAGCTGCTGATTCAGATGTTGCTAATGACATGTTTGAAATTAACAGGGGAAGCATTTTTCTGCTTTGACTGATAAGCAATGCCAGAAAGACTCTGTCAGTAGCTTTATTCATTATTTTCTTGTCTTTTTTTTTTTTTTTACAATAGACATGATTAAAAAAAAAGCTTAATGGCAGGGAGAAGGGGTATTTTGCTAAAGGCATGAAACAGTCAGTGATTTCCAAAGCCTCTAGACTAAAAGTATAGGCATGATATAAGGAGTGAATTACAGGGCTGCTTGTAAAAATGAACACATCTTGAAGATGCTTTTTTTTTTTATTCCTACAAATACTTAAAACATCTGCCCATCTTTCATGGTGCAAATGTACGACACTGATGGCATTTCGTCTGTATAACTCAGTATAAACTATGTAAACAAGTTTTATGCCATCAGTTTGAGGCTACACAAAGTTGTTTGCTTTTAAAAGGACCCCAGAGAGCTCCAAGAACAAAGGCCAAGTGTAGAGGATTTTTGGTTTGAACAATGGTGTTTAGATAAAGCAGCCCTGCAACATGCTGTGTCTTTCCCATTGTGTTTGACATGCCATGGAATCTTGAGGCCTTTCTGATTTCCCTAGAAGCAGTAAACCCACCATGATCTAAACA